AAACATCGGTTAATACAAACGGCTGTGACTTAACTGACCCAGGTTATTGCGGGCTTACCTTTGGCCCGATAAAGTCGCAGGTATTGCTACAAAAGCGAATTATTCAGAGGATGGCGCAATTACAAAAATGAACTCTCTGCGTTCAATAATTAAATTGTAGGCGTAACAAGCCACAACTTACACTTAACATAATATATAGCGGTTTCGACAAAGAAAGAAATTTAAATTAGAATAGTCTTCATGCGCGCCGGCTGAAACCGCCATGCAAGCGATGGACTAATTGAATAAAGTTTCTAAATCCAACTATACAGGGGTGTCCCAGCAATCGGCGTGCGGAATTGCATGGGTAAACTTTTTATCATAAGATAGAGGAATTGGTTAAAAAGCGGCCAATGGTTTTGCGAGTTTTAGATGCTTATTTACAAATTTCCTTTTGCGAAAAATTCAAGAATGTCGCATAGGTTCGCACGTAAATTCGAAAAAACTAAAATTGCGTCATTGTCAGTTGAATAGTCTCTATCAGCATCGAATGTATAAGAGATACTAAAAAAAAAGTTTTATATAAAAAGCTTTACTGTCTTTGATACGTTTAATTAGAATTGATGTTAAAAAAAAAATTCAAGATGGCTACTCTTGAGGACACCATTTTACCAAACTTACCTAAAGTTAAATAGGACGCCATATGGCCGATTTTAGATTGGCTTAATTAGATTTTTAACTTGCTCTCTTCAACGCCAGCACATCATAAACATGAAGATTGAAAATAAGATTACCAGTATATCAACGGTTTTTATTATTTAATCAAGTAGAGCTGTGATGAATTAAAAAAAAAAAAACAAAATCTATTCGAGCAACAAATTCAATAAATAATTACATCAGAAATGTTTTAAAAACAATCAGGACGCACTCATGAGGAAGGGGGGTTTGGGCCATTACAACTCCCTCCAAAATTTATTATAAGCGTCTCAGAAAAATATGTGATTTTGATATAAGCATCACTTATTGACTTATTATCCATACTTACAACCTCAAATAGTGAGTATACTACAAACTATCCCCTCGAAAAAAGTCACGCCATATATCCAGTTAAAGACCATTTCAGAGACCACCGCATTTATTTTTACACAATGTATTACCATTGATACATTGTCCCATGGTTCACATTTCTGTAGGTGGTTTATACCGCCAAAAGAATATCGAAACTAACAGTCTTTAACAGTCCGACAGTATATGGAGCAGCAGAGGGTCAGATAAATTCTTATTTTTTCTGAACTGCGAAGTGTATCGACATTATGCAACAACGTACTCGTCACAGAAAACCTACATTTCTGTAGTTTCACGCCGCAAATCCAAAGTAATATTTTTTTAAAATTAATGTATTATCATGGCCATAATGCGGAAGTCATTGTAAATTGGACCGGGCTAATCCTTTCGATGGCATCTTTAACTGCTTCCACCGTTCCATTTACAAATTCTCAATAAAACTTCCTTAAAGGATTATTTGCCTCGACCAACGCTATGCTTTACGAAGGAGAAGGCCGTTAGTATATGCTACCTACCAACAAACTGGCTGATCGAGGTCACAAATTCACACGAATCTGATGCTACAAGTACATTAAATTATAAAAAGCTAAGTACCTTAATTTAAAAAATAAAAGATAAGAGTGGAAAAGTAGCCTACCACTACCAATAATAATACATAATACATCAAATGGCAAACACGCTTCTGCCTAAACTAAACTGTCTTGAAGCTTGATGTTTCACTAATAATTGCCAGCTATTTTAAAACACTGTTGTCTGGTGTAAAATTATTTTCATTGTTTTGTATGGCCTCGCAATAGAATTTTTGTTTTGGTTTTGTTTTTATCGTCCACAGCACTAACTTGATTAAAATACAAAACACCGTTAAATATAACTGCCGACTAGTTCTTATTTTCAATCTTATGTTATAAGAGCTCGTTGCAAAAGAGAATTATAAAAATCTATCAAAGTAATCTAAAAAGTCCATATGGCGCCCCATATACGTTGTTAGGCAAAGTTGGTAAATGTTTTACGTCGAACCTATGCGACATTTTGAATTTCCATAAGGGAATTTTAAATAAGCATCCAAAACTGCAAAACATTGCCCATTTAACCAATTCTCTATCTTTAATAATAACAAAGTTACCCATGCAATCCCACCCAATTTGGGACACACTGTATACTGGCGAAATTAGTGTACTCGACTTCGAACGAAAACTTGCCTGGCGAGATGTTTCTTTTATGCTTTACGCAATCAACTGCAGGACCTGGTAGTACACTGGCATGACCGGGCAGTACCATGTAGTACATATACAGGACCTGGTAGTACACTGGCAGGACAGAGCAGTGCCTTACATCACATTGGCAGGACCGCTCCTAAATACACTACTAGGACCGGGTTGTATTCTGTGGGAGTTCCAACATTATAAAATAGAAAGCGCCCATCTCGTTACACGTGTTTTAATTGTTCAGATTCTGTCTTAGTTGGTGCTGTGATTGTGTTTGCTGTTTTATGAAAAATTGAAGAACGAATTGGAAACGAAATTTTGAGACGAATTTGGAGGTAGTATTCTTTACTATAGGAAATTGGTGAAAATGACAATACAAACAGAAACAGTGAAGTGAAACATGTGGATGTGAATGAAATGCTTGATTTTTTTTTCTTTTTTTCTTTCCTCTAAAGTCGTGTAAGCTTAGATACGTGTTGATGAAGGGTTTCTGTCACTTTCCATTTGCATTATAAAATAACGTATTTTTACCTTGTCAGCGATTTTATTATTATTTTTGTAAGCGACAGTTCCATTAGATTTCCTAAAGCCCCGCAATTATCTCGTTTGGTGGACGCGTCCTATTTTCATCCCTTTTTTTTTAAATAAAGAGGCGAGTATAGTTATTTGTATCACAAGTCCAGAAAATGTGTGTTTGCGAGTATGAGTATAAGGTTGCAGGCCAAAGCGGAGCTGAGGCCTGCAATTACGAATACTCGCAAAACAGTTTTATGGATGAGTGATACACACTATGTACCGAAATTCGAAAAAAAAACGCAAATCATGCTTAAATATTCAAATTTAAAAATTCGTATTTTTTAGTGCATTTAATTTTCTAGGTTGGTATTACCACTAATCAGTTGACAGTTGGTACATGAACATTTCAAATTTTAAATTGTTTGAAGTCCGAGTTTTTTAAGTTTATATTATATATATATATTTATAATTACATAAATACATTAATAATTACATATATATAAATTTGCAAAAGATGGAGGTACCCACTCATATCAAGGAAGCGGCTGAAAAAGTCATAAACGACTTACTTCCAAGTAAGTCCGCTTTCCGATACTGGATGGAGTATGACAATTTTATGAAGTGGTGCAATGAGAATTCCATACAAAATAACTACAACGAATATGTTTTATTGGCCTATTTTGAACATAAATCGAAGACGCTTCAAAGCTTCTACATTATGGTCCAACTTTTCAATGCTAAAATCTACCTTAAATATTAAGCATAATGCTCGGCATAATGTCAATATCCAAACCTACACGAAGCTGCTTTCCTCAAAAAGACGAATTGTGGTTTTGTACCTAAAAAATCAAAAGTGTTGGAAATAGAAGAAATCGAGCGGTTTATTACCGAAGCTCGAGATGAAGACTATCTCCTAATTAAAGTAAACTAGTCCTTAGTTCTCTTCCCTTTTTTGTTTTCAACCCATTTTCGTTTTTAGGTAGCGTTGATAATTGGCCAAAATGACGATTCAAGATGTTAAAGATCGTGGGGATCTAATTGTCATCCATCCAATCTTTACGTCCACCAGGAACTAAAATCGATAGATTTTTTTTATACTATGCAAAAAATAAGTGTACCAAACAACCTGTTGGCATCCATACTTTCGGGAGCATTCCATCCAAAATTGCAACTTTTCTTAAATTAGAGAATCTTGGCTCGTATACTGGACACTGCTTCAGGCGTAGTAGTGCTACTTTATTAGCAGGCCGAGGGGCTAATATCACTACAATCAAGCAGCATGGTGGCTGGAAAAGCACAGCGGGCGCAGAGGGCTACATCGAGGATTCCCTAAAAGCAAGGGTTGCGATTGCAAATCAGTTGGTAGGACAAACCAGTTCAGCCACGCAGTCTACAAGGATGGACCCTGTTTCCACTGATAATGAAGACGAAGGGGTAGATTCGACTTTGATTGTAACCCCCATTACCAGTTCTCGTCGCTGTGCTTCTAATACGCATATTCAAAATGTGCAGTTATCTTCTGTAAATGCAAATTTACCTACCATTAATAGGTATACGCAATTGTCAGAATTGCACAATTACTTTTAATATTAGTAAGTAGATATTTAGGTAAGCTTAGAATAAGATTTTTATACAATACATAATGAGCACAATTAGTTTTTAGTAGGTAGAGTTCATATTTTCTATTAATTAAGACACACTACACTTAGATTACCTTAAATTTATTTTCCAGTATTGCTAGTATTTTCATTTACGTGAACTAATAATTTATTTTGATTGTCGCTATTACGTACACACTTAGAAAATAGTCTAGTTAGTAGTTACACACTTTCATTATAACCTAAAAATAGAATATAGGATAACCTTAAACCAAAGATCATATGTTACAGAAAAGGTAATATGACTTCTTAAGGTCAAAGTCTAGTTATTACAAGTGAATAATAATTATAAAACTAAGCCCTTATGCACTGTACTTGCTGCCTTTAATTTCAATCGCTCTGGTCAATTCATAAACTACGTTATGATGTCAACTTCTTGAAGAATGTAGGTACGCCGTATGCAGTGACTGAAAATTCCCATCCACAATATCGGTAAACGTCAGCAGGTACTTCACTATCATTCCACACCGGTTTTTAAACAATGCCGCATCAAATTTGTGTTTGTGGGCTAAGCTGGACCAATTTACAGTGGTAACGACTAAGAACATCTCAGTCCATTTCTATACTCTTAGTTATCTCCACAGGATAAATTAACAATCAGGTAGCAACGAATGTGTATAGCAATAAAATCTGTAAAGTGAAAACGTAATGTTCGGTGTGGAGCCTGCACTTACTGTAGTAATACTGGTTTCAGTTTGGGAATTTTTTCATCATTCTGGTGTAGGTGCAGATTAGTTAATCTGTGGTGTAGGTATCATTATTTAGCATCCAAGGTGTTTGTTTTTTAGGTAATAAATACAATTGCAATCCAAACAAGAGTAGGTACCCAGTTTGATGCGGAAGTGACAGTTGCCAAAAATCGTCTGTCAATCGTCTCTCACTTCTCAGTTCTACCAACCATTTTTTAGTGTAATTTTTGCCGGCCGAGGCCGGAAAATGATAACTTTCCGGCCGAATGTAACTACGAAAAACACAACTTTGAAGGACGGAGGTACAAAAAAGAGTTTATTATAATGTCCCCCAAAATACAAGGCTAATTGCCTTCAGGATGTTCCTTTAATTAGGCAGACATAGTTTTTAGCGTTGTAAATAAAGTACTGATCATTGCAAACATTTTTTTGGCATTAATTAAAAAAAAATGTCGAAAAGATTGTCCGTCGTTTCGTGGTGCAAAGAATTTCTTAGTCAATGGCACACAGACATAAAATATATCCTCGAAAAGATTATGTTTATCCTTGGCTGTATTATTTTATCATCCACAAAAAATCTTACTGATAGAAATTTCGGAAACTAGTTCCAATGGCGTATTTTGACGTTTTCAGGAACAACTGGAGAACATTTTACAGCTGACAACGTGTCATCATCTCAATTTCCCAACTGAGCTCCATATACTGCAAAAATTCATACCTGCAAACCATTCGTGCATGAAAGCACTCTACAAAGAAATAGTGTCCCTGGTTAGATTCATAATTTATTGCAGGGGTATGAAATGCACCTTGTAATGATAGGTAAATTTATATTACTCGGTGACTAAACGGTCTACTCATACTATTCCATGCAAACAATATTTTTTTGCCTGGCACGTTCCTATTACGGTCATGGTAAGTATAATACGTTGTAGTGGGTAGAGACCTTTAGGATGTTGTGCGCGGGTGCAGCATCCTGTTGAAACCAACAGAATTGCCAACTTTTGTGTTTTTGTGTGCCATCCATCGTTGCATTCGTAATAAAAAATGTTACTCAATAAAGTATGTACTTTTTTTACGGTACATATACAAAAATAAAGTTGATGAAGACTCCTCCGAAATGTTTTATTGAAAATCTCTCAACGCAATGATAGGAATAGCCGACATCGAAGGATCAAAAAGCGACGTCGCTGTGAACGCTTGGCCGCCACAAGCCAGTTATCCTTTTCTGACACCTCTTGCTTAAAACTCCTAAAAGCCAAAAGGATCGATAGGCCCCGCTTTCGCGGTCCCTATGCTTACTGAGCATCGGGATCAAGCCAGCATTTGCCCTTTTGCTCTACGCGAGGTTTCTGTCCTCGCTGAGCTGGCCTTGGGACACCTGTGTTATTCTTTGACAGATGTACCGCCTCAGTCAAACTCCCCGCCTGGCGGTGTCCTCGAATCGGATCGCGACCGAGCATGATTGCGATTTTCTCCGGCGGACGGACGGGGCAGTACGCACGGGCAAGGAACTCAATAACATGAGAAACAAATAAGAACAAATTCGTCAAATTTCGGTTTGTCTGGCATATCTTCGGTAGTAATTGGAATTTTCTGGTTTTCTTTACAGTATGATAACTGTTTAATTGCGCAACTTTTCCGTGTATCTTCTATGGTTTCCGAGATCCCCATGATAACGTATCAGGACAAATGGACGCGGAAAGTTGGACGCGCGACAAAAGGACGCGGTCATTTGGGCGCGGCGACATTTGGACGCCGCGATATTTGGTCGCAACGTCATTTGGACGCAGATTTGATGGATAAATAATAAAAAAGTTTGGTGTAGCGGTAGTTAACACCTAATGCAAGGGCATTCTTCACTAATGACCTATACATAATTATGTGTTTAATTGAATTGGATAGGAATATGGTATTTTGAACTCCAGAAGTTTGATTGAGCTAGTTATCCCGGATGAATACCTACAAAACAGCAGAGGGTGAAGAGCACATTCTGCTATTTTCCACGAAACGAAATTTATCGTATATGGAACATAGCAGACATTGGTATATGGATGGCACTTTTAAAGTAGCTTCGCCGCTTTTCCAGCAAGTATATACCACATCCATGGTGTACAGTATAATAATGTAATCCCAACGGTATGTGCATTGCTCCTAAACAAAACTGAAGGCACGTATACGCGATATTTGAAAATCTTGAAAGGTTGAAACCAGGATTAGAACTGACTACTGTTATGGTCGATTTTGAAAGAGCGGCCATTAATCCCGTCCGAGGTCAATTTCCAGAAGCTACATTATGTGGTTGTTTTTCCATTTCACACAATGTATATGGAAACGTATCCAAGACGCAGGACTGCAAAGAAGGTATAATAACGATCCTGATTTTGCCTTACAACTAAGACAATTAGCGGCTCTAGCTTTCGTACCCGAGGACCACGGTATTGCTTCTTACGAGGAATTAATTGACAGTGAGTTTTACACCGACAATGAGAATCTTATTACCGGTAATGAATTATTTCGAGAATACTTAGATAGGTCGTCTAAACAGGAGACGACGAAGACAACCGCTCTTTCCCATAAGTTTGTGGAATGTCTATTTAAAGCCGGTAGAAAACAAACAATGCCGCCGAAGGATGGTACAATAGTTTTGCCTCTACACTTAACGCCATTCATCGATGTATTTGGCGATTTATAAACGCATTGAAAAAAGAGGACAGTCTAAATTGTGTGAAAATTGAGCGACTAATAGCAGGCAACATACTCCCACAAAGGAAGGTCGGCACAGCGCATAAAAAATATAGTTGCCGACTATGAAAATCGGTCAATTATGGAATACTTACGAAGAGTTGCTCACAACTTTCAATACCAAGTGTAGGTGTTGCAAATTTTGTGTTTATATACATTTAAAATTATTAATAATCAAGTCATATGAAATAAAAAACAATTATGTAAAAAAATGTCAATAAAAAAAAGTTGTATTCGTTGCAATTAAAATTTATTCACAAATCGCGAACCAAATTATATTTTGCACTGACAAGATTAAGTACAGTACGTTATTAATTAATCGTGTAATGAATAAATACAAAAATTTGCGGATTTGCGATTTGGAGAATAAGGAAAAGGCGTCGATCAACGTGACAAGGAATTGGAGTCCCAATTTAAACAAAGGAAGTTATCGTTGCTGAAGCAGCATTTATTAATTGGAGGCTCAGTCTTGTGAACAGTTATCGTTGCGGAAGCAGCGCAGCTGAGATTTGCAGAAGAGTCCGTGGCTGTCCATCAGATATTTATTCTGACAATGGCAAAAACTTTGTAGGCGCGAATAAAGAATTGTCGGCTTTGACAAAGTTATTGATTAGTGAATCACATGAAATTCAAAATGATTTATCAAAATGTGGTATTACATGGCATTTTATACCACCGTATTCACCGCATTTTGGGGGAATATGGGAACGAAGTATACGATCTATCAAAAATCATTTAAAACGATCTTTTGCTGACACAAGGTTTACGTTTGAGGAATTGAGTACTGCTTTAATTCAGATTGAAGGTATATTGAATTCGAGACCTTTGTGTTATTTACCAAATGATCCTAATGACTTGGAACCTCTTACACCATCTCATTTTCTGATGGGTAGAAAGATGAATATGGTGCCTCAAGTGGATCTGACGAGTACTCCGCTTAATAGACTAAAAACTATCAATCAATCCAGTTAATGTTGCAACTGTTTTGGAAGCGCTGGACGAAAGAATATTTATGCGAATTGCAAGAACGTCATAAATGGACCAATTCAAAGGGCGAATTATTAATGGATATGATAGTAATTATTAAAGAAGACAAATTACCGATATGTCAATTACATCCCGGACGAGACAATGTTGTTAGAGTTGCAGATGTAAAACTGCCACTGGAATCCTAACTCGTTCTTTTTCCAAATTGTGTCCATTACCCATGAGTACTTAGTTGAAAGTATTGTCTTTTAAGGGGGGCGAAATGTTGCAAATTTTGTGTTTATATACATTTTAAATTATTAATAATCAAGTCATATGAAATAAAAAACAATTATGTAAAAAATGTCAATAAAAAAAGTTGTATTCGTTGCAATTAAAATTTATTTACAAATCGCGAACCAAATTATATTTTGCACTGACAAAATTCAGCACAGTACGTTATTAATTAATCGTGTAATGAATAAATACAAAAAAAAATAAAATAATTTAAAAAAAAACAAAAAATTAGAAGTTATACTGACCGAATGTTTTGCAACATGGAAGTCATTTTAATAGAGCAAAATACACAAAAAAACTTTTCTCCAACCACCTGAATAAGACGCTATTTTGTGACAGTGTTCGGTACGTAAAATTGACGTTTTGCGGATTAATCGCTTTCACCATGGCAACTGTACAAAAAGTGGGATACTTTTGGTCCTAGTACCAAAAAGAAATTGACCTTGAAAGTTGGTCAATTAAAAAATTACAATCACGGAGATATGTCACATTGACATCGTTTGACATTGCAGGTTGTAAGATATTTCTATACATAAAAATCAAATATTTTTGCATATTCAATGCAAATAATGATGTTACCTATACGTATGTACAAGTATTGAAAATGATTTACGCTCGCTATTTTTATTTAAACCATGTGTAACGTAATTTACATATTCGGTGAACGTAATTTTAATACGTATACAACCCGCCGTCGCGCGTAACGCCATCTACTTCAGACCCATTGCACTATTATCTGTCTGTCATTTTGAATTCAAAATTTGAAAAAGTTAATTGCAATTAATTTTAATTAAAAAACTGTATGGTAAGTTTTTTATTTCAATACAAAATATAACAATATTAATTTTGTATACAATAGAAATGACTGAAACTGATAGCGACATGGATTGCACTCCGCCAGAGATTATAGAAAATTATTATTACATAATACACCTACAAGCGGAGGCCCACGAAAGGATGGAAAATGTACGATTGAATTAATTGTATAAATTTAGCTAACCGTTTACTTTTTAATTAATTTTACTTTCATCAAAAATAAAAGGAAAATTAATTGTAAAATTGATTGACAGCTTAGGTCAAGGTCAATACATTTTCCATTATTTTGTGACCATCAGCCGCTGTTCCTATACTTATCAAATAATGAAATCATAATTTCAATTACCACGGGATTGAAACGCCGTTGGTGCAATGAAATTATTTAAATAGCAATTCGTTGAGGGCGTTCTCATACTAGGTAAGTATTGATGTCTCAACCTTGGTCCAAACGACTCTGGTCATTTTTATATTTGCCGCGAAAAATATGAAGGTGTTTAATGTTGGTTATACATCATCTATTGACCGACGGCCGGCGCGACATTCAAAAGTCCTATCATGGTTGGAAAGATATTTTTGGTTGGGAATTGGACGATCGGCCGTATAAGATTTCGTATTACTAATGACGCTATGCCAATGCCGGCGTATTGTTGTGGTGTTTGCTAAGTGGGTGTCAGACCGTGGAATCCTTGCATCAGCATTCCACTGTAGGAAAATTCATGAGCTACAATTAGTTCAGGATTGGTTGAAAAGAAAGCGCTAACCATTTTGAGATGAAATCATTAAGAATGATACAAGCGAGTATTCGTCGTCTGATAGCCAAAGTAATAACTACGTAGCCTAGCAGAACAAAATTAGCGGCGTAATTGCGGCCAAAAAAGTCATAGTTTCTGTGTTTCTCTAAACAATTCGGAAGAAACGCGATTTAAAAAAGTTCAAGTGTACATTCAAATATAACTCAAGGCAGTTCCGTTTATTAGCGGGAAGCTGTGATGTATATGCGCCTGTTATCGTCAAGGAATTTCTGTATATTGAATGGCCGGATTTCTTAATAAATAAACTGCACCAATATCGACAACGAGCGACAAAGCCACTTCCGGTTGACGAATATTGACCAAAATTTAATCATTTAGTCCCTTTACCATACCCATTGCTAAAAACAGAATTGGAAAATTCGAAACCGTTAGCGAGTTATCGTGTCCATAGACGGACGGACGGACGCACTGACAGAAAATCCAAAATCGCTTTTTGCTCGTTAATAAGGTGTCGTTTGCTTTTAATAGAAGCATATATCTCGATAAATACGACAGTTGATATTGCATTGATAGTAGTTGGAAAATGCAGTCCGGCGTGGTTGTATTTTTCCATCGCATGGTTTCTGGTACTCCTTTCACGCCATTTTCGGCGCCACTTGCTGCTTAACGTTCAATCGTAATGGAACACATCGACGCATTCTCTACTACTTGCTTTTTTAAAGCTACGTTAATTATCTTTTTGTGTTTATAGGTCTCATCTACAACAAAGAACGGACTATTTCTTTCTTACAGGACCACCGCATGCTGCTCCGAGAACCTGTTCATAGCTCCACCTTCAAGAAGCATGGAAACAGTCACTGATTTAGATGTCGCACGACGTGCAAAGTCCCGAAGAAGACAATTACGAAGCGGCGTTCTTTTTTCCATTTCAGCTATGTCCGACACCTTCTTCGATATAGCTGCGATGGATATTTCTATTGTTTGCCGCTTCGTTGCTTACTGACTGATCTCTCCACACCGCAGACAGTCCATCCTTACGGAGCAGCTTGCCATCTCTATAACTACGTTGTCGATTGGACCAACTTTTGAAGAGAGGTATGTATTGACTATATAACCTGCTGTTTTCTGTATTTAGGTGGAGAAGGAGTCACGGTTAAGATTCTGCAAATTATTAATGACAACATGCGATCTGGTAAATTTAATTTTTGCATATTTCATTACGAGATATTAAGTTGATAATAGATAACGATACTTCCTTTTGATCTGTGCCATGGTCGGGAAGAGGATTGAATTGTCAGCAAATGATTAGGCGCTTCATCACTAATTGCACCACGAAGTCTCGGGGTCAGAGCACACTTTTGCACACAGTTTTAATATAATTATAAACTTAGTTTCAAACCTTTCAACATGAGTCCATAAAAATAATCAAAAAACTAACTGGCATCATGCAAAAATCTTCAAACTAAAATTGACAACAAAAAACCTTTTTCTATTTCGGTGTCACAATGATGATTTTGTACAACTGTTTTCAGCCAAAAACAGTTGTACAAAGACCGTGATTATAGTCGTTTTTTTTTGGTAACTCTTATCTTAAGTTGGCAGTTACTAGTTAGTACAAGTAGGTACTTCGTTAGGTACTTCCATATTTGAACTTCAAAATGTCAGTCTTACTACGCTGCCAACCTAAAACTTAACGGCATAAAAAGTGTTCCCAACATAAAACATGTTAGTTCTAATGTTCCCTATAGTTTCTGATAATGATTTTTTTAATTAAATTAAAGCACCGAAATAGAAAAAATAGTATGAAAAACGCGTGTTACAATGCTTTATTGTAATACTCCTACCTTGCGGACACTCGTGGCTACGCTTCGCGTCGCCACTCGTGCCACAAGATAGTCGTATTACAATAGGTCGCATTGTAACACTTGTCTTTCAATATACTATTCTATAGTGTATGTAATTTGTATAACTGCTTTACTTCAAATACAATAAAAAGGGACTTGTGTAAGCTATATTTACAAAATACCTAAAAACTATGTACTCAACACTTATTTTATAATACACGAATTCTTTAAACTAATTAAGGCGTATAAGTAGTGCTTCAAACTAGCATACGTTTATGTATGATTTATCTATTACTTTATTACATTTAAACCCCACAATGGCACGCTTCAAGTTTTTTCGTACAAGTTTCACGTCATTGGCAGCGATCCAACTATTTGAACGTGCTATAAAACGTCAAAATTAATATACCCAGTGAATTGTGTCACCCCTACGCAGTCTTCTGCTTTTCAAAGACATTGTCATTTCCTTCCTAAAGTAGGGCGAATGTAAGTAATGTCTCGGGGAATGCGTTCGCTTCTACTATACTTTCATAACATTATTTAATTAATAACGTCCCACTGACAAATCAAATACGTAGCTATTTTTGCGCACGCAAGTTGCACGTTTATTTGTCAATATTTAATATTGGTCGCTATTCCACACCGACATTTAAAAATCGGCTTAATACCGCAATTTTATCGGACAAGGGGATTTACTCTAAAGCCGGACATCGTTCGATACAGTGAATCTGCACTATTTATGAATTTAAAATTTGTTTTTGAAACCAGCCAACGAAAACGGTACTTCACGTTTATTCAGAAAATCTCATCTTAATTAAAATGCACCGCATACCCAATCTAATCGACTTTTCGGATAAGTTCAAATCCATTTCAGAACAGATGACACCATTAAACAATAGGTTAGACTCGAAGAATACACATTCTTGTCATTCCTGATGCAACATAGTATTGTGCTTTTTATTGCCGAATGTTACACTTGTACAGATCGAGCAAATCAATCAACTTCCTCTGGGGATAATATTACCAACTGTTACAACGTTGTAATTAATTTGCATAAATATGCCCATTTCCATATTAACATTAAAAACTTACCAAAATGTGTGATTAATAATAATAGGGTTGATTATTCCACACAAATTGCGTCATTTTTTTATGTTTTATATAGAACTCGATAATCAAAAAGAATAAGTCTCGCACTTTAAAATAAAGAATAATCAGTGAGTATGACAATTATAAGTACATCTTTTTCTACGAAAATAATGAACTTCGTTATTTTGAAAATGAGTTTTCTTTCGATTGCCGAAAAACTGTTCCAGAATCTGTAATTTCTCGTTGAACAGTTTAGCCACGTTCGATATCATAAAATCGTGTGAAATGCTTTATTCTCCGAATATTCGAATATCGCCCGCATCTTCGTATTCCTCTGTAAGCTGCTTCTACTAATACCACCTACATTTCAACTCGCTATCTAATTATCGCGTGTACGCCCTGTAATTGATTAAACGTAATAACATGACACTTTCCTTTTAATACGTTAGCCTGTAAATACGGTAACAGATCGTAATATTATTATTTTTAGCTTTTGTGACCGAGACATTATTAAAAAAAAAATGAAATTCGAAAAGCGTTTATACACGCTCAATATATCCTCAGAACAGGATTATGGAAAACGCCAAATTTAATTAATTTTGTGTTTAATTATGATGCTATCATGTTGTTTTATGTAATCGCTTACAGTGAACAATTTACTTTTTTGTCGGCTGTTTCTAAAACAGGCGGTTTACACAAGGGTTAATAAAAAACAGTATTTCCAAATTTTTGTACTTACAGCTTTGAAGTTTAAATAGAAGTACCCCTCGTTATAAGCCTTGCGTTTGTGTGGCATTTGCAGTTATCATCCACAGGCGTGGTTTTCGGCCCAATAATAAAAAATGTGTATTCATTCTGTTACTGTCATTCTCACATCTTTCGGGTAAAAATGAAACATAAACAATACAAGAGATAAAATCCATTAGTAATTTCTGAAACACCTACGCATTTTACTCACTAAGCATGCATAATTTTTTCGATGCAATTGATGCGTACGGTTTGGACAACTTCCACAATTTTGTTGTGAATGTTCCCATAAATCGATCATCCAATTATGGTTAACATTGAGCAAAAACGGTGGCCGACACAAGACACGTAGTTTCACATTTTTTTTAAATTTCTAAACTATAATTTTAGTTTCCAAGATGAATTTATTATAAACTGCCGAACGTACCTAGTCTATAGAGACAGTGTGGTCATATGGTGGTGTTATTTTCCATTGGTAGTTGGGACATCCGCCATGTTTTGACCAAATACACCGGATTGGTGGAAATTAACCTGGAAACCAAGGTGATGATGAATTTATCTTGCTGGACACAATTGCGACAGCATTATTGTAACCAAAACAAAATCCACTATAATCCATTTGTTATTACTGTTCCGATATGTAATTAACCCCACTAAATGCAGCGTTAACTTTTTTTACTTCACGTCGTCGATTTAATATAAATAATTCTCTCAAACTAACTGCAACACGCTATTGTTGACGTGCAGAATAATAATGAACAAAGCACGGTTCCGAAACGGTTAATCGATTCTAGCTCGTATTGCTTACGTCAAATAATATTAATTGAACTGAATTTCGCTTGCATCCAGTTTTTGTTTACAGCAATGTTCTTTACGCCTACTTGATGCCATGCCATGCAAGCGAAATTCACTTCAATAAACATTCTTTAACGTAAGCGATACGAGCTAGAATCGCTTAACCGTAGTTTTGTGTTATCATTGTTATGAATCGAGTAGAAATGTGGTGAAATCGTCGATTTCGTTTCGTAGTTTCTTATTCTACCGGTAGAGGTCACGCGCAGTTTAATGTTTGTTGAAACGGTTCCCCTTCTTTTTAAATAATCCTCACTTGCGCATTGTTGGCCCTGTAGAACATTAATTGTTTGTTTCACTTCAAAAAAACATGAATTGGTCTGGTCGCATGATGGCCGAGGTTTCCAAAAGTCCATAGTCTCCTGTAACTAGCTGAGAATCCAAATGTTTACAATAAACTCAACCAGATGTTTTCACCCGAACTTGTGATACAAGTATACACCAATCCTATGCAGTAATGAAGAGATGAAGGAGCGAGGCCTCACTGTTGATATTATTGAATGTGCAAAAGCAACGCACTTGTTTCTATAGGGATCCAAGCAGCCTTGTTTGTCTTTATTACCGTTTCCAGCAATACAGGTGCGTATGGAAGACGGTGCTGAACAATGCAATCTCTCCACTCAGATTTTTGGTTAGTTCGATTTTGATAAAACCGATAAACTGGCACTGGTATGAGGTGGACGACAGAACGTCTTATTGATAAACTGCGGAAGAATCCTGAATGTGACCTACAGGTCATCGACCTGAAGTACTGTTTCCGGTAGTTTAATAACTTATAAGTTATAACTTAATCATAAAAGGATAAATGAAACTTATTAAAACAATTATACTATTGTTCAGATTTGGATCAAAATCTAATGTTAACTTCCAGAATGCGTTATATGTTTCAGTAATATCGAGATGAGCTTTTTTAAATTGAAAGTGATCAGGAACGACCTAGGACCTCCATGGATGGATTGGCTATTTTATGAAATGAAAACCGAATACCGACAATAACTGATTTTGAGAAGTAATTTTAAAATGTTCATAGAACAATAAATAAAAGTTTTCAATCAATTTGCTAAATATGTACCTAACCTAGAAAATAAAAATCGAACCTCGCGTGCCATTTCGTTCCAACCAATATGCCTTCAAGAGTGGCGTAAACAGCAGCAATCAACGAGAAAAGAATTCTAGAAATTGCAAATCTGGAAAGGGAGGTCATCGAAAAGGGGAACGGTTCTTTCCGGCTTTCTACTACTTTCGGCTTACCTTTTAAAATCAGTTTCTAGTTTTAAATTGTGAACTTCAGGAAATTCCCAAGGAACTTCCAAAGTAATAATTAGCGCACCTGTTTCGATGCGTAATCCTCTTTTTAGGTGATGACGAACTTAATGAGAGTAAACAGCGTAACAACCCCGACGGGAATACATCTACAATTTTTGAGTTTTATAGGGTAGATTTATAGCGCGCTACTTACCTTATTGCAAAGTAACTAATTAATGCGTGCTTTTCACTTTTATTATACGAATTCAATTACGCAATAAATTACAAATTAAACGAAGACAGTTCGTTTGCTGGGAATACGGTTTGTGATTCTGCGTAACCATCATAAACTTACGTTTATTGAACGTAACTAAACAACGTTGAGCGATGATGACTTGATTAGGTAGTTACAGAATCCTACAGGATATAAAAACTAACCAAAGTTTAATCGTCCATAAAATTGTAGTAAATACTCCATAAAATAGGAGAAACTTTATATCTGCTGAAACTTTCCAATCAATGAACTTCGTAAACGTTTACAAAAATTTTAACACTTTTACGTTTTAAATGAACCGTCGGAAATAAAATGTTGATATTAGAATGTAATGTAAAATTAATATGGTTCCGGTTTCACCGCTCCTGCATGTATTTAAAAACCCATTTGCACGAACTTTACTTTCAAAGTGCGTGTTAAAGGTTTGTATAACGTTGAACTGACACAAAGTTATAAATGTGCCCTCTTCATGTAGTCGGAGTTTCTATCATTGTGAGCAATAAAGCAAGTAGAGTACTTACATTACCAGTTGTTATATGAGGGTTTTCGCACAACGAAGGATTCTATGAAAAAAAGCTGTTTCGGTAGAAAAAATGGATGTAGGTACAAAATTTATTACTGGATTAAATTAATTGAAGAGTACCTAATATTTAATTACTTAGCAAGACCTTTTTGAGTATCATGAGGATTCTTAATTAACGTTCCGGATTACTGTTGTCCCTTTTACGGTATTTTTCGACTATAATTAACCTTCTGCTTTTGAAAATTACCTTTTTTTCTCTTAATGAAAGCTGTTGCAGATTTAAACCGGTTTATAATTGTAAAATGCGAGGTCATTAAAATACATGTATTTTAATTAACCTCCCTAATTATTTACATTCAAAAAATTTACATAGATTTATATACCTTCCTTGTAATTATGAATGTAAAAAAATTATGCGGTTAGTTGGTTTTCAACTCGTAAGCTAAATTGGAATTGGACGATATGAATTTTTCAATATTTAATTAAGCACCATGTGGTTTGAATAGTTTTATTTACTTCACTTGCAAAAAAGGTACTTGTTTTCTCGACTGTTTAATGTAAAAAAATCTTGTATGTAAAACGAATGTTTACACTCACGTGCTTTAAGTTTGTACCGTTCCCGTAAACCACTTCGATAGGTGTAGGATTGTAGTGCCATTCCTGGATCATCTGAGCTCGTAAGTAGTGCCTCCATTACATGCGACCATCGACACACAGCACACACTTATTCGAAGAAATAAATAGCTACTATAGCCCAGGAAAATGAATATGCACTACTAACTCCAAAACAGAGCATCTCATATAAAATTTCATTCTCAGTAAAATTAAAGTCCAAAGATCGGCAATCTTTACCAACGTAGCGAAAAAAAAATTTTCTGTGGGTAGCAGAGATACCACACCTAGTACCACACAGCTATAACTGATTTTTTTCCTAATTTGGTTCTATTGTATTATTATTTAAACAATATGTACCCTTTTTATGTAGGATTTTTTTTTACTTTAGAGTATGTTACTTCTTCTGTCGGTTCTTCAGAAAAAGGATTGTCAGGATTTTGAACTCTCAAGAGATATTCCTTGTCCTCCTCTGAATTTATGTATCTATTCAATGCAACTTCTTCAAGATGACAGTTCAATGACGCTCTGCCCTCTTAGTTCGTAATAAGTTTGATTTCCTTTTGTCAATAAGTCTGAATTGCTGCTCATCAGTTTATTCATTGTTGTCTCAGCTATTTCGTCTATTTGGGGTTGGTATTTCTTTAGGAATTCTTGAGTCATTATCCTCAATTCGCTAACAATAAAATTTCCGTGTATTTCACCCATGGGGAAATCTCCATCTTCCTTTTCCCAATGCATTCGCTCAATCAATCGCCCAGCAGATAGGAAATTTTTCTCTGATTTTTTCTTGTTAAACTTGTAGGCTCTGTTTACTGTCTCAGCTACTTTGGGAGTTTGGGTGCCATAACCATGTGGTGGGGTTCCAGTGTATACAGGGTGGTGACTTGCGTAACGCATCATAGGGATTTGAATGTAAAATTCATAACATGCGATTATTGGCTCCCCAAATTATTTTAGAGCAAAAATGTATTAAGGAAAAATTTTTTTACGTCAATCAACCGTATTAGTTTTCAATTTTTTGCATAATAAAGACGGAAAATGGGAAAAATAAAACCCGCATCTTTTTCAATAATCTGTGATGCCATGGAATTATATAATACAAAAACTACGCCAATATCCGTCATGCCATGGAATGTCTGCTATAAAACAAATCAAATTCTATCAATAGGTATTATATTTAGAACAGCGAATTCAACATAAAGAAAGACCAAATTAGTAAAAACGGTTTCTTAATATAACAATTTACAATAAATGTTCGACAAAGTCACCATTAACTGCAATACAGTAACCAAGTCGATCATAAAATCTATTTCGAACTGCTGCTAATTGATAACAGGATATCTTTTTGTTTTAGAAAATTCCATGGCATCGCAGATTATTGAAAAAGATGCGGGTTTTATTTTTCCGTCTTTATTATGCAAAAAATTGAAAACTAATACGGTTGATTGGCGTAAAAAAATTTTTTCTACAAAAAACCTTAATACATTTTTGCTCTAAAATAATTTGGGGGGCCAATAATCGCATGTTATGAATTTTACATTGAAATCCCTATGATACATTACGCAAGTCACCACCCTGTATACAGGGTGATTCCTATAGTACCTGCCACCGTTTGGGAGCGTATAGGGGGTGCCTAGGGCAGTATTTTGATATAGGACACTTGGGGTCGGAAATCTAAAATAAGGGCGCCAGAACCAAATTTATCTTCTGGAATTTCACGCCTGTATGTAGGCAACCCACCGACCGACGTTTCGCGCGGAGCGATGCAGAGCGAGTTAGCGCGAGGAAGCGACATGGGAGGGAAGGAGGGAAAACGACAGTCAAAAGCAATAACGTTTACAAGTGTTCAACGTGGCCACCGTTGTTCTCAATGCACTTCCTACATCTAGCCAACTATTATTATACTATTGCCATAGTGTTTATTCACTTGATACGCGTCGTTGCAGACGGGATTTCGTGGGTTTAAACAAAATTCTGATCAAGTGTCAGCCACACATCGCCGCCTGAGATCGCTCCGTGTGCACCGCCGGCCGGTTGGGTTGCCTACCTACAGGCGCGAAATTCCAGAAGGTAAATTTGGCTCTGGCACCCTTATTTCAGATTTCCGACCCCAAGTGTCCTATATCAAAATACTCCCCTACGCACCACCTACACGCTCCCAAACGGTGGCAGGTACTATAGGAATCACCCTGTATATAGCACACTTACCAGATCAACGAATTTGTGAGCTTGGAGGGAAGTTTTTCTCTTTCTTTCTTGGTCCAGTTTAGTTTCAGCCACTGCAAACTGGGAGTAGTCCTTCTACCAATAAGGACCCACTTGTGCGACATTCCAACTACTTTTAGGTGTATTGTCCTGTCATGGAATTTTTTTGCAAAGTAGCTTAAATCTTGAAGTAGTAACTAAAATGTCATAACTTCTACATTCGATGACCAATATGTCTCAAATTTTGCATACACATGCCTCTAGTGTTGCCATGTAAAACTCATGCCAATGGGAGCGGGGACGTTCTACTCTTGTAGTGTTGCTGTTACCTCGAGACGAGACTAAGTCAAAGTCTCGTATCGACCTGTTTCATTCTCGTCTCGTCTAGGTGGTATAGAGCATATAAAAGACACCACGAAGGTATGACAAGTATATAATAATAGATGACCTTGTCTGCTAATCACCAAACGCAATTTCTTCCATTATACGTATTTTTTAAGGATTTTCTTTACCATTCGCAACTCTGCAGCTAAAAATATTAGCTTTCATAAAATGTAACTGGTAATATAACTAGAAAAGGCACATTGAATTCTTTGTTATTTCTATAGATGAGGGTACAGGTTTAATTGTCAATTGTCCGAAAATAAAATAAAGTTGTCGAAGGTTTCCTGGATTTAAGAAGTTACAGTTATTGTATAGGACCCATGGTAATCAAGTAATAAATCAGTAACGTTGGCAACTTTTTATGTAACTAATTGGAATTCGTGCTACTTGAACTTGAACAATACACATAAATACAAAAAAAACTTTCGAGACTAAAGGAGAATTCTCGCCGAGACTCATGGTTAGTCTCGTCTCACCGAGGAGACGAGCCCAGACTAAACCTCGGTGTCATCTCGAAAATTCGTGACGAAACGAGGTTGAAGCCTTAGTAGTCCAGTCAAATTAGCTCTAAAAGTAGTATAAACTGGATGTTGTCATTTCACTGAACGAAACCAAGTGTACACTATGTAAAAAAATCCGCTGAATCGGAAAATCATAGTCCCCCTGGCCGGAAACGCCCGGAACATATTGTTATAAACAAAAAACGAAGAAAAAATGAGAAAATATCGTGTTTGTCACATTTGACCTCGAATATCTCGTTAACTATTGCTCTGAGGGAAAAAATGAATAGAAATGAACTTGTTTAGAATAAAATTTTCTATAAGATACAGTTGGTCAGGAACGCTCAATTTCAACCGTTATTGTTTTTTAGGGAAAAATGTAAAAACAGTAATCTCTAAAATTATCACTTTGTTATTACTAAGGAAAATTCGTTCGATCTTTTTGAAAATCCGTATTTAGTAACAACTTTTGATAACAAAACAATATGACAAACCAGATCACCGTAGGTTTCATACTCACTGATTAGATAAATAAACAAGTAGAAAAAGAGATGCTTTGTCTTTCAAACTGGGGGAGTACAAGAGTGTTCTCAATTTTTTTATACAAATTTTAACCCTAAAACAATCTTTTCCAATAATTGTCTCGATTATTCCTGCAAATCGACGGACTGTGCAATTTTTTTTCAAAATCCGAAGAATTTTCTTAGGTAAGAAATGGAATAACTCCCGAAATAGTTCACGAGAAATGAGCTTTTGACTTTGAAGCCAGTTTTCGAAACAACCAAAAATGATTTTGCAAATCGGGTCGCACCGATCGATTCTTTACAGCGTGAATTTTTTCATGCTTCTATTTCACCAAAATGAATGATTTTTATTAAT